ATTTCCTGGGATAACAGCAAGTGCCTCCACAGCTTCAAAGCCCGCTATCAAGGCACACGACGTTTACTCGGTCCTCTTGCATTGACTTCGTACGGAAACATGGTGAAGGTGGGGGATTTCACGACCACGACCACGGAACCGGAAACCACGACCCTGGCGCCGAAGACATACTACGGCCGCCGCAAGAGGTTTCCTTGGTGGTCCTGGAAGAAGGCCTACTCGCAGCCCACGGAACTTGTCCAGGACGGTTCGTCGGACACTGTGCATTTTATGCAGATTGACAAGAGCGGCAGTCACAAGGAGCTTTGAGCCACAAAGGCGACGAGCCAGTTTTGTTTACCTTTTCCAGCCATTTAGAATTCCCCAACCCGTATGTGAAACCAGACGGTTCCCAAAACCTTATCCTTTGTGCCGGCAGGAAAGGCTCCATGGACGCGGCCCAAAAGCGGCCCGCAGATGTTGAAATGGTCACGTTTAAGGCCCTGACCGAGAAATTACGGTCAAACAGAATCACTATAAGCAGGGTTGAGCTTTGGGCTTTTGTAAAGCTTGTGTGCTTTCACGTGTTCCTCAGAAGAAGGCAGGCGCGTATTGCTGTGCAGGGCCTGATGGACGGCAAGGATATTGATGTCAATATCCCAGGGTCTTGGATGCTTATAATGGGGCTGTGACAAAGCTGCGGCATAATGGGCGTGTGGGCCTATATAGTAGACACAACCTTGAGGCATAGGAGGGGGATTCTTTGGGTGAACGGAGCTGCTGGTCGTTGCATTTTCTCTTTGACATAACTTTCTGGGCAGGCCTTCCGTGCACAATGCCCGCGCAGTTAAAGTATTCGTGCATCCTCAGGTTTGGCAGCTTTCAAGCTACATGCCGCGGCTCATTTCGCAAATCTCAGCTCCAGTTCAACTGGCAGGCGGCCGTGGATGAAGATGGCGACACAGTGCAAGTGTCTCAGGGCAGTTGTCCTGAGGGCACAGAGTTGTCCGGGACTCAACAGTGTCATGTGCCGTTCTCTGTTCTCGAAGCTCGGTGCATCGTTCTGGTGACGGCGATGTGGCTGAGGCTAGTCGATTTCGCCGAGTGCCGAAATGCTGCGCGAGGTGGTGCCAGAGACATCCAGAGACGTTAGTCGAGCGAACGACACCCTTTGCATCGCTTCGCGGCATTTCCAAGTGGTCGAAGTTTCTCCGCAGGCTTGAACCTGCCGTTTCGCTTCGACGGAGCGGAACTGTCAGGCTGCCGTTTGCAAAGGTTGGGCGCTCTGCAGCGCGTTACGGACACGATCTTTCTACGCTCTTTGAAATGAGTTGCTACTCCTCTTTGTACAGCCGGATGTTTGCAGTAGGCAATTGCTTCCGCTTGAGCTGCATGCGTCGATTGCAACGGCCCAGGTACTCAAACAGCATTCTATTCAATGCTATGTTCGGCAGCTTGACCCCCAGTGGTTGTGCCGCAACCCTTCTTGTCGTGCCAGTTGCGTGCAAGCTCAACGCTGCAGTTTTGTCGGTGAAGGTCCTGAATCATCCGAGTTGAACCAGCCAGTTTGCCTGCGTGCAGCTCCAAGCTTTTCCCCAATGTTCCACAGCGATAATTGTTACATCAACGAAGTGAGAGTAGTGGACCAACCGTTCTACCTTACGAATGTGGTGAAGCACGACTGAGGGCGCCTCTTCAGGAGCCGAGACGTCGTTGCCCATGGTGCAGTCTCAGTGACTCTCTCTGCACCGTCTTGACCCGCTTTTGAAGGAGACGTGTCGATGCGCCTTCTGCGCTCTCCGAGGCGAGAAGCCCCGGCCCTGGCTCAGAGCTCAGGGAGAGCCTTTCGCTGTGAGCTGCGACTTTTGAGGCTTGCGGCTCTTTTGTTTCGCCTGGACGACATGGAAGCCCGTGGCTTTGTGGAGCGTCCCGGAGCTAAGCTGACCAGAGCTGAGCTCGAGGCCGGGGGATCTGGCTCTTCTGGAAGATGTGAGGCCACTCTGGAGGCTTTGTTTGCGTCTGATACGGTAGATGTGGCACATCGTGGTGAGAGGCACTCCTTCCGCAAGTGCGATGGCTACCGGATCTTTAGTGATCGCAGACCAATTGGAAGCGAGGAGCTGAAGGGCTGCGATGCTGTTGGTTCTTGTCTGGCTTTTTGCTGGAGGGCAGCTCGACTCTTGACTGCTCTCGTGTTCGCATAAGCACCGGAGCAGCTTTAGTGCAGGATGACGTGGACATTGTCGTTGTGAGCGTTACGCAGCAGCCGACCAGCCGGGGGGAGTCTTGACAAGACCCACACAGTGTGAAGCAGCCTCGTTTGCTACTCTCTCTGCGGGCTTCAGGATGATCATTGGCTGTACCACAGGCACACATGAGTACAGTCTTGTTCCTGCAATTCCTTTCAACATCGTTCAGCCAATCCATGTTGCCAGTTCAATCTGTCGCAGGAACATGGTTGGCCTTATGCCAGCATGGAAGCACATGCTGCTTGGCAAAGCTTCAGAGCACGTCTCTTGCCATTCTCGCGGCTCGCACACGTCGATGGAAACAAGTGTGTCCTCTTGCCATCCACTGACTGTGATCAGTTTCAGTTGCAGCGTTGTGCAGCATTGCGAAACTCTGTAAGGCTAGAGTCGGATGTTCACAGCCAGTATGCGCTTTGGCTGCCAGACTTCCTGTGGAGATTCGATCACATTACACTAGTCTTCTTGCGGTATGTGCAGCTAACAATGCATGTACAGGATGCCCACTAGACTCTGTATGCTCACTCTGGCGGTGGCAATCAGGACTGGTTTCTGAACGTGGAGTTTGACCACTTGCTCGTCCCCTCACTTCTTCGGAAAACAATCGCGGAATATTTGAGCATCTTACGAACTGGGAAGAAGGAGCAGCAACGAAGTGCGCATGGGCCTCTGCTGCTGATGTTCGGCCGCTCGATGCAAACGGACGAGCTGCAAGTCGTGTGATCGGAGGCCTCGCAAAAAGGTGAAGATTGCTTCAGGAAATGCATTTGCCTTCAACCGCGAACTCGTCACGGACATGGGTGGCCAGTGGACGGTTTTGGGTCAGACCGCGCCGGCTGGTGGTTTTGACAGCATAGAGTTTTTCCAAGGATTCTACAGGGGGGATGTCGAACGTGGAAGCGGCACCAGCTGAGGCCAAGCCGCGGCTGGCTGTCCAACCTTCATGGAAGGTCGCTTCGAGTGGCCAGACTCTTGTTCCCAGGAAAGCTGTGCGAAGCTTTGCCAGGGTCAGCAGTATTCAGCAGTGTCTTCCAGCCGCAGGATATCGTCTACCCCAACATGGTCTCCGTGCTGGCACCACCAGTGCCGGCATATGGCGCACCTGGCTGCGGGCAGAAGCCGAACGACTGGGCGGCTGCGGCTAATGCTAATCATCTGTTGAAAGTTAAGCTCGGGTCCGGTTCTTGGTCTTTCGTCAGGACTTCCCATTGGCTTGCTTCGAGTACAGCCGTCAGCCTGTCTTGGACACAGGCTTGGACCAGCGCCCCAGCTGCCAACCCGCCAAAACGGTGTGCTGGGTAGAAACGCTAGAAGGCTTTGCATTCCTAGACCTCTTCACAGAAGAAGCCTTCTTGAAACCCCTTGTGCAATCGTTTTATTCAGACGGTTAAACCAGTCAGATCCACATTCACACGCACTGGCTTCAGTAAACATATCATTTGACAAAATATGTCGCCTCAACAAAGGGCTTTTCTGGAAACGTACTAGGAACCCATCCCCAAGGATTGGCCTCGTCCAGGAGGTGATCGCGGTGCGAAATCTGGCAAGCGAGGCTCTCTCGAATGTGTGCGTAGCATGTGCAGCTCCTCAGTTAAACGCTTCGCGTACCCACCTCGGCCACCTTGCAGCTGCACAAGGGTTCACGGTGTGAGGTGCTGGGTCTGCGCAGTTTTAGAACTAGTATTATTATTCTCATCGGTATTAGCACTAGTATTGGTGGTAGTATTGTACCTCTTTCGTATTAGTATTTCAAGCAGTCGCAGTCATAGTCATCGTCGTTGCCGTCGCAGTAGAAGTAGTAGTAGCAGCAGGAGTACTGTAGTAGTAGTAGCAGTAGCAGTAGCAGTAGTAGTAGTAGTAGTAGTAGTAGTAGTAAGCGTCTTGGCCCAGACGACGAGCATCCTTGGTGGTAGGTTTTTCCTTTGATGCTTCGGTGCTGA